TTACCACTACTTTGATTCATTTTTTTGCTTTCGTCCATAGATTTATTTAGTTTTTTGTCTTCATTCTCAGGAAATCTGAAATAAAATTATTTAGGTATATTTAGTTGTAATAGTTGGAGCTGTAATCTTTTAAATATTGGTAGCTAATAATGAAAACAAAAGTAGGTATTTAAACATATATTTAAAGAAAAATCTTTTTTTATAGTAAGCATTGCAAATGACACACCTAGGCATCTTAGTACAAACACGAAACACTACAAACTCGAATGTTAAACAATACAAAATACAAATAAGGAAAATTGACAAAACTCAAGAAAAACACTTATTGAAACAATTAACAGTTGAAAATTTCAAATCAGAACCAGAATTATAATATTACTCTATGGACAACACTATAGTCTATAGCCACACTATAACAGTTCAATAATAAAATATAAATTGTTCTATACCATTTTGATAGTACGTGGTTTGTTGATAAGTCGCAGGCGCAATTGCGCAAGCAGTGTCGCCAGATTAAAACAAGTCAAATTCCCTTTCAATGATATAATATTTCCCGCACGGGCACATACAGTTCTCCTACACATAGATAAGAATTTAGTAGGTGGGAGTTCAAAATTGTAATGACACCAAATTCTGTTTTTTTAAAAATTGATATAGAAGAAATATCGTATTATTGTACCTGTAATCACTGTCTGGGTAACAAATATTATTTTAATATTATTAATTATAATTTATAATATTACCCATAAATTATATTTTAACATTTAATATTTTAATAATAATAATTTATAATTTGTATACAAAATGGATCATAACTATGCTCTACAATTAAGTATGTATGGTACTTATGTGTTATCTCGACTACCCAAATATTTCCAAGACTACCTGTTATATTCTATTTAAAAATGTACATTCCCGCGTTGTAATCTGTAATTGACAATTTAATTTTGTTTTCGATGTACAATTTACTATCCACGTATCTTACCATCAGACCAGGTATTTATGTCGTCAGTGAGTCGACAGCCGTCCTTATTATGTCCGTCAGGTATTATTTACTGTATAGTACTACGCGCTACGTCTAGCCAACATGAATTTTTTTTAATTTGCCATCTTCAGAAAAGGAAGCTGTACAATTTCTTCAAGAACGCGGAGTGTTGCCAAGTGTACAGATTTGTCAAAACAATCACTTGTCAAAGTTATATTTTGGAAAAGAAATATTTTGGAAAATGCAATGTTAAGAAATGCCAAAAAAAGGTAAATGTACGTAATGGTAATTGATTTGCAAAATGACGAGTGCGAAATGGTGCGAGCAACAATTAGGTTTAAGCCTAAATACAATTATTGACTGGAATAATTACCTACGCGAAGTATGTGCAATGGCTGTTTAAATTAAACCACAAACAAAAACAGGTGGACCGAGGAAAATACTATTAATTATTATTCATAATATTATCTATAAATTATTTAACATTTAATATTTTAATTATTAAATAATTTATAATTTGTATACAAAATAAACATGCATAGCATAGCAAACTATGCTCTACAAAGTATGTATTTATTTTCCTTTTATTAATTTACAATTTAAATAAAATAAGATTTGTTTTCTTGTTCCCCAAGAGAATATTCTACTTTATAATAGTGACGACGAGGAAGACTTTGATGGTAAATTGTTGGGCATAAAATTCTAATGATCTATTTATTTTTATTTAAAATATAATACCATTTGTTTTCTAGTTCCCCAGGAGGATGTTCAATTAAGTGACGGGGATGATGAAATTGATGGTAAATTTCAAAGTTTAAATTATTAATGATCTTGTTCTCTGATCTCTATAATATTCACTATTGATTGCAATACTATTTATGTTTATATTATAGCAGGTCCAGTAAATTTAAATGTGCCACAGCAAGCTCCTGAAACCTATTTTACTGTGTCTGGGATCCGTCTCAATTCTTTAGTATATATGGATAACATTGGGTATAAATACTATAAGAATATAAGTCGTAACAACAAAATGTGAGTACTCATCATAGTTTATTACGATTATAGATTGTATGAATTGCTAACAAACATAATATTTTAATTAGTTACTTAGTATGTGAAAATCAAAAGAATAAGGCTGAATTCTGCCCATCAACAGCAATAGTCAGTGTGGATATAAATGAGAATTGGTTAAGATCAAATATAAGACACAACCATTTTCCACCTATTGTGGACATTCCAGTGGCCCATTTGAGGAGGAGTATTGGCATTGCAGGCACAACTACTTGAAGACTGTCAAACTCAATCAGACATATCTATAATAATGAAATAGTTGAGTAAGTAAAATGTTGTATGATTTATGATCAATAACTATGAAATTAATAACCATACAAATCCTTTTATTTTTACTCAATATGATTAATCACAGTGCTGATAATATATTTTGTATATGTTAGAAAAACCCTGATGGAGCAAAAAGTTACACATTTTTACAATGTCAATCAAGGGTATGGAGAATGCGACAATATCTTCGTCCACAAAGTGTCGATACAATTGAAGAACTCGCGAACATTCTGAACCTGGAACAAAATAAATCTTACTCATCAACCTTGCAGCGTCCACCATCAAGGTAAATTTTTTGAATGCCAAACTATTAATTAAAAAACACATTGATTAAATTTATATATCTATTGCTTACTAATTTTTGTTTAGATTTTTCCAAGAAACATTTGAAGCTGACAAGGAAGTTGTTGACGTAATTTTTTTTTCAATTTAGACGCCATTCAAAAATATCAGCTTGAACTTTTATCCGTCAACATTGCAGGAGTGGATGGAACGTTTAAAACAGTGCCTAAACGTCCTCCTTGATTTAACAAAGGCTGCCTTCTGACATTTCATGTACTATTTAAAAATGTAGTAAGTTTATGATTACAAGTAATTATTTTGTAAGTAATTGGTCAGCTCTTTTTTTGGTGTCTAGTCTAGTGTATCCAATTTTATTTACATTCATACTTTATTTAATATTTTATGATCCAATACCTAACTTAATTTTGTCAAGTCTTTTCCAATGGTATATGCATTAACATCGAAAATGACCGAAGCAGCATATAAGTCATTTTTTAGAGTAGTTAGAAGAGTACTACCATTAAATTATGCACAAATCACTATTATTACAGATTATGAAAGCGATCACCCTGACTTGGAACCAGTACAGAAATTTCAATTTCTAAAATCACACTTAACTGGGACTGCAAGTGACATTGTAAAAACCATTCCTCTCGCGAATGACAATTACAATCAAGCATATGCTAAGCTAGTTAAGCGATATGAGAATCCAGGACTCATCATTCAGTCCCATATCCGAGCTCTGTTTGACACACCAAAGGTACAGGTTGCGTCGGCAAGTCAACTACATCAATTACACCACCACGTTGTCACTAATGTACGGGCCTTGGAGTCATTGAAACAACCAGTTAAGCAATGGGATGCATGGTTAGTACCATTGTTATGCTGTCGGCTTGACAATATCACTGTATCTGAATGGCAATTAAGACACACATCAAAACAGTTACCTACATTCACTGACTTAGAGCAATTTCTATCAAACAGAGTAAATGCTTATGAGGCAGGTGAAATAGCAGTTGGGTCAACAGTTAATGAAAAGTACTCAAAGATTAAGGCAACAAAAAACCAAGGGACCAAAGCATGTTTTGTTGCTCAAGAAATAAAAAACAGCCAGTGTCCAATCTGCAGCCACAAACATGAAATATATAGATGCTTTAAGTTCAAGAACATGACAGTCTTAGAGCGTCAAGAAGCCGTTCGCAAACAAAATCTATGTTTTACTGCTTATCAACTGGACACTCTTATTCAAGTTGTACGGCTGGGAATTGTAAAAATTGTAACAAGAAGCACAATACTCTGCTACACAGTAATACAATTTCAAACACTAAACCAGATCAACAAACACCGGCTCAGTCAAGTCCAGAGACACCTACTCCTCCTGTTGAACCTCAAGGAGCCCCCCCGAGTACTTTGTGCACATAGTCAGAATAACAGTCATGTACTACTTGGAACAGCAACAGTGAATATTGAAAATAGTACAGGCAGATTGATAAAGGCACGAGCGGTACTCGACAGTGGTTCACGGGTCAATTTAATTTCAACCAAATTAGCAAATAAATTAAACATTCAAAAACATAAAGGTACAATGCCTATCTGTGGAGTTGGATCTTCTGTGATGAACACATCAAGCTGGATACATAGACAATTGCATTCATTACATTCCAAATACTCAAAAAAAGGTAGAAATGTCCATCATCAACGCAATTACACATCAACTTCCTGCGTTATATGTTGATGTCATCCAATGGCAATTACCAGAGCATGTTCAAAATAACCTAGCTGATCCAGATTTTCATAAACCAGGTAACATTGATCTGTTGCTGGGAGCAGAACTGTTTTTAGACCTGCTCGGCAATGAACAAGTAAAGGTAAACAATCAATTAGTTACTATTCGCAACACCAAGCTCGGGTGGATAGTATCTGGAAAGGTAAATCAAGCTCAACACCCGGTACCATCAATGTGTTTGCTGTCATCGATCTATAACAATGACGACAAACCTTCTACCCTGTGCAACGAAGCAGTTAAATGCGAGGAGCACTTCAAGTCCACATACACTAGAAACAAAGAAGGTCGTTTCAGTCTCAAGCTTCCTATCAAGGACAGATCAATTCTAGGATCTTCATATGAAATGGCTCGTCGACGGTTCTTTAGTTTGGAAAAACGACTGTCGCCAGACGATGAGTTACGTTCAAGATATATCACATTTTTACAGGAATATGAAGCGTTAGGGCACATGTCACAAATTAAAAATGTTGATGCAGTACATACCAACTGTTATTATCTTTTCCACATCATGCAGTACTGCGAGCAGAGAGCCTCACAACAAAAACAAGAGTTGTCTTTGATGCATCCGCCAAGACCACCAGTGGGAAATCTCTAAATTATGTGCTGATGAATGGTGGAGTTGTCCAAGATGATTTGGTGTCAATATTATTACGGTTTAGAATGCACAAATTTGTCATGACTGCAGACATTGAGAAAATGTACAGACAGATATTAATTCACCAAGAACATATTAACTACCAAAAAATACTATGGAGAGATTTGCCGGAAAAGGAATTGCTACATTTTCAACTCAACACAGTAACTTATGGAACGACATTAGCTCCTTTCCAAGCTACGCGGTGTTTACAAGAACTTGCAAACATAAGCGAAGCCAAACATCCACAAGCATCTCAAGTAATCGCACAAGATTTCTATGTTGACGACCTAATTACAGGTTCTCATTCAATAAGCATATGTCAAGAAATCTAAAGAGAAGTCACCATGATACTCCAGTCAGCAGGAATGACTCTTCGTAAGTGGTGTGCAAATAGTCCGCAGCTAATCGATGGCATACCAAACACAAATGACGAAACTCATGTCGTGCTTGAGTTGAAAGACAATGATACAACCAAAACACTTGGACTAGTATGGAACCCAAGAGGTGATTAACTTCTGTTTAAGGTGTCGCCTCATGCAAAGGGACAGTTATTCACCAAACTCACATTACTGGCAGACTTAAATCGTGTTTTTGATCCATTGGGATTTCTTGCACCAATTCTGATTAGTGGAAAAATATTTATTCAGCAATTATGGCAACTACAGCTTGATTGGGACACTCTTCTTCCAGCTGACATTTCTCAACGCTGGCATAATTACACAAATTAACTTTGTCAGGTTGACCAGCTCAAGGTAGTGCGCAAGGTGATAAGGATCATCCATGCAACAAATTTGAATTACATGGGTTTTGTGACGCCTCCATGAACGCATATGGAGCTTGCATTTATGTAAGACAATTACAACAGCATTATGAAAGAGCTTTAATGACCGCCGTAAAAAGTATTTTTCCTGAAAGTAAACTTTGTGGTTGCTGGTTCCACTTCTGTCAAGTAATGTCATGTAACAATTATAATTATAATTATTTTTTATCTAGTCCGTTATCCGATACTGCCGAAGGAGTTTAAATAGTGTATTCCACTTATTCCAAAATAACCCTGAAGCTAATAGAGTTCTGCGTATGGTAATATTATCTTATTCTAGTTATTATGTTTAAGGCACTTAAATGTTTGTACCTAATTCATACTTTTAAATTTTAATGATCAATCATTTTTAGGTTTTAGCATTGCCACATCTTCCTACAGAAATACATCCGGAATGTCGTTTTACTATGAGTGATGGGTTTCATGCTATAATTGAATATGTAAACCAGTATGACCATATTTCGGAACGCCTTCATAATTTTTTAATTGGTTACATTCAACGTTTTTGGTTTGATCAAATAGGTTCAGCAAGCATTACTGTTTTTGGGTAATTTATATTTAATAAATAAGGATAATCATTTTAAATTGCCGAAAATAAATGTTCATTTACATTGTATGTTTGAAGGTCATACATTCAAACCTACAACTATTTGGAATCGTTTCATAGAACCTTACTATGCCAAATAGGAAGACACCTCAATATTTAGTATTATTTACGTAAACATAATCCTAAATATCAGCGTTTGTGATTGTGATTTTGCCCCTCCTTTACAATTTATGTTGAACATTTTAATCTAATCTGAAAATGCATTTATATTGAGCATTTTATTAAATACTATAATATATAATATAATACAATCATTATTAATTGTTATTATTTACATTCATTTAATACTAATAATAGTAATAACTAATAGTATGTTGATATTTATTTAAATAGGTAATACCAATATGTTGCTATTTAGATACTTAAAAAGACCTTTCTGCTGTATTTGTTTGATTGCAATAAGCATAAAATATAAATGTATATGTATAACATATTTGCAATGTTGGATAAGTTAATTTTAAAAAGTAATCAAATTACTTTACTCGTTACTAAGAGATAAATGTAATTAAGTTACTTTACTTGTTACTCAAATAAAATTGCAATGAAATTACTTTACTTTTGACAGCTAACCCTACCTCTGACGGCGGTTAATTCATATATATATTTTAAAAGTCAGTAAGTAATTATAAACTTACATTTACTAACTGCAACTATTTGATATAAATTAAAAGTAATATATGAATTTTTAATAAATTATTTTAATGTCAAATTGAAACAATGAAGATTGCATTACAATTTACAACACAATTATAAAGATTATGCTTACCGAAATGCTTTAACAAATTTTGGTCCATTATCTGTCACCACTCTTGTAACTTTATTTGTAATTCCATATTCACAGAATACTTCACAAATCAATTTTATAATGACATCATAAGTGTGCCTTCCTTTAATTCTTCTACATGCTAAAACTACAGACTCGTAATAAGGTTTTGTAGTCGAACTAATGAACTGTCATTCCAATGTAGCTTCTGCACACATATTAATAATAACAGTTTAAGTAACATTTTAAATGTAAAATTGTATTTTGTTTTTAAATTTACCTTTTGTAGACAGACAGAATACTAAGTCGGCCAAGGTAGGTGCAGCTGGTTCATAGCATGTTCGTTGCAAAATAATTGTAGGTATTAATTATTATTTTGTGACTACACTAACTGAAAACTGTAATCTGCAGTGTCAACTGATCGACTGACACCAAATAATAGCGATCAATCTTGTTTATTCTTGTATTTGTGTTATTAAATATTATGTGAAAATAAAATCATAATACATATGGAAAATGATAAAAACTTATACACAATTATAGAAATAAACCGTTTCTTATATAGTTGCCAAATGTGAAATGGCTATAATGAGTATAATGATTTATAACGGTGTAACGTAAATATTTGGATTTTATTTAATCATCAGAAATATAATGTTGTATTACTGTATATTAGCTTAAACTTTAAAATTTTGCCCACTTAAAATTTTTTTTCTCTCCGCTCGAAACGCAAAGTACCTACTCTAAAACCGTGGTTAAATACAAACTGCTACTCGTATAACGATTAATTATCCTTTCTTATTTATGCCATCGATTTAATAACACATAATTCATGGATTACGTCTTTCATAACACAGACGAGGCTTGATCGTGCTTTGTGTGGTTCCATGAACCACCAAAAAGTCTGGGATGGGTGTCATTTTAATAGGTAGGTAATTGGTCTTGGTAATCAGTTTCCGGTATAACCGTATACTGTATAGTGTAATATAAAAATGGTTAATTTGATGGCCAATTCATTATTATAGCAACAAAAAGATACAATCACATAGGTACCTACATTAACAAACAATATTTATGAAGTTATATAAAACTGTGTTTATGTATTTTTTAGATTTTTGATAACAGAATGAATTATTCTCGTGGAACTTTGTTATAAAGTTTTAATCCTTAGATATAAAAGTTGAACATTTTATACATTTTTCACTACTAAATAATTTGTAAATACTCAATTTGATAAATTTCGTCAAAATTCGAACTTTAAATGTTTTTAAAAAAAATTGTGTCCATATATTTTTAACCTTTTTCAACTTAGATACTGCTATTGTAACAATAGGTATATCGTATTAAATGTTCATATTTTAAACTTTGAAATAGTCCGTAAACAGCTCAAAATGAGTCAAAATATTTTCAAAACTTTATGGTATATAGAAAATGAAAATATAACCATTCAGTGAAATGTTCGTGTATTTACAGTTATTCTTTTTTGAATTACAACAAAATAAGAAAATCGTTACACGGGAAATCGAGTGAATATCCAACTGTAAAGGAATTAGTCTTTACTCATTTACACATTATACGAGTAGGTAGATAATCCTTGCACGTAAAGTGCATAATTAACCTGAGCTAAGCAGAAACCACTCTCCGTGAAATGTGGTCTCTTCGATGCAGCCTCGCTCAAAAGCGGAGGCAGTGAAGACTCTCTGCGAGAATAGCCGCTTTTCGGAACTGTTGCTGCAAACACTTCGAAGACACCTGGGTCCATTGGTGGACTAACTCAAAGGAGCATTATATACAGGACAGGAGAACAGCACGATCAGATGTAATAGAGTCACCAAGACCGGAGCTACTTCACGATACCAACCAACACACTATATACTACGATGAGTTTATACACCGCTAGTAAGAATCATTTACATTACCACGATGAGATTATTCATATTCATTTTTATAATAAAAACTGCATTTCGATTACTATTCTACATTGACTACTGTTTTATTTCAAAGTAACATCTTTTGAATTCCTGAAAGGGCAGGGCTGCACGTAACACCGCAATGTCGTAAAAATATGAATTTCAAACGCTCATAAAAATTTAACTTGAGTTTCTTATAGACGTTTTTGATAAAGGCAGAAAACCTTATGAGGTATCTTGTATTACATTTTCAAATCTTAGATTTAAAACGAAAATTTTTTATGAATTTCTAACTCAAAATAATTTGCATATTAAATTTGAATTCAACGATATAATATCATTATTAAAATAAACTGTGCTATTATTTATGTTTTAGATTTTTTAGTAACAGAATAAACTACTTACGTGGAATCTTGTTTTAAATTTTTCAATCCTTAGATATACAAGTTGAACATTTTATATATTTTTAACTACAAAATAATTATTCAATTTTAAATTTTGTAAATTTTGTCAAAATTCGATCTTTAAAAGCTTATAAAAAAAAATTGTGCCTATGTATTTTGAATATTTTTCAACTGATATTGTAACAATACATATATCAGGAGCACAACTATCTACTCTAGTAGGCGGACGCCGGTTTACTGGTGGTCTATGCGGCGTCGTCTAGAACTAAAAGCGCTAGTAGTCAGGAGGCCTCTTAAATACATTATTAATTATGACACCCGATCCGCGTTCGTAGTTAAAATTATATTTTATCATGGCTTTTTAGTTATTGAATTATATTATTATATAATTATATCTTAGTCCGTGGTTATGGAATATGGATTATAAATAGTGATATTTTTGTTAAATAAGCATTGATTCATTTTCGTGAAAATCATATGTATTATTATGTTACTACACATTTTTCTAATGTAGTATTTTATATACTTAAAATAGTTATATCTTAATTACAGATTTTAAAGCAATAAAATACTTAAGAAAACTACTTAAAATTAAGCAATAAAGCTAACAAATTGGATTTATTTTTATAACTTAAAATTAATAATCATTAAATATTGAAAAAGATATAGCTTAACCTACATTTTGAAACAATATTAAACACATATTTTGTTAAAACTTGCTCTTTTAAAGCCATGTTCTTCCGTCATTTTTATCAAATGTCTTTAATATCATTTCAGGATCTATTCCAATATTTATAAATTTGTTAAACAGCCATAAGTTAAGTGGCTCTGACATATTATGTTTTAATTAATCTCATAGTCATTGATACTTCCATATCTAATTTTTAGTAAATTAGGAACACTTCTTACCTAATTGAAATTCTATGTTTAGTTTTTTATAATTAAAATTTAACATAGTATTTATACTCTTATTATGCAGGGTGTCCCACAGATATCTGACAAATAAAATAACTTTTGTTCTAATTAATATTTTTAAAAAATTTCTTTTAAATATAATTCATAGACAATTGCGCTACATTTTTAGAATACATTTTTTATTTTTTAATACTGATAGTAAAAAACTTAAAAATTGATAAAAAAAATTTCCAGAATATTCAAAATAGCCAATTTGTAAATCTGATTTTCAGAAAAATTTACACCGTAAAAACATTTATTTAAGTCAAGTGGATGATTTTTTAAAATTTTTTTAAATATCAATATTTTCGTTAAGTAACTTACGCGGGCACCTATGGGTATCATTGTATTGTTATTTCATTTGTCAAATCTCCTTGGGACACCTTTTATATTATATTATAAAAATAAATATAAAATATTTGGCGGGCGTTTGAAATTTTTGGGAGGGCTTAGCTCCTAGAGCCCCACTTATTTGCGCATATAGTTTCAAATTTCAATAGGTGCATACAAATCATAAATCATTGTATTAAACATAGTATATTAGTCTTGTAAAACATACCTCTTAAAAATATTCAATGTATATGCTTTTTTAAAAAGTATTTAAAATACACATTCGAATACCCAGCAAAAAAAGTAATTGAGTACAAATACAAATACTATAAGTAGGTTAAAAAAGAGAGTTCTGGAACCTCATCCTGCTGGCAATTTCCTATACCCGCCTGCTCATCCCACTATACCCATCTGCTCATCCCACTATACCCGTCTGCTCATCCCACTATACCGTCTGCTCATCCCACTATACCCGTCTGCTCATCCCACTATACCCGTCTGCTCATCCCTATACATTGACGGCTGCTGAACCCACCATATATCACACACGATGTACCCCCGCCACCCCACCACCTATGACCACCGCGCGTGGAAAATAATTTAAAAATTTATCCGCCGGACCGTGATTCGAACCCGGTTAACTTGCATGATAAGCGACAACCGTACCACTGGGCCGCCTACTCGCATCTGTTTGAGAAGGTATATTCTATCTCATTTAACCGGCGTCCGCTTACGTACG